GCTACAATTGCTTCATTAAGGTCTTTTGGAGATGTAACTGCTACAAACGTTGCCGTTTTCCCTTTTAACCTGCTTAAAAACATTCGTATAATATATTGGTCATGTAATGAATCTTCTGGGTCCACCCGACTTAGGAGTTTCTTAAACTTGGTGGTGTAGACGTCAACCTTCTCGTGTTCGAGTTGGGTGAGAGTATTCAACTGAATTTGCCACTTGTGTTGTTTTTCAGGGGTAGCAAAGTAAGTGACTAACAAGTGGTAGAAACTGTGATCTTGATCATCATCGTCTTTCCAACCAGTGATGTCTGCCTTCTTATCTTTGTACCATTCTGCCGCCATCCCCTTTAGATACCCTGAGGCTATCTTGAGTTTCCTTTCATCTGACCAATTGTTGGCTTCCGCAGCCCGTTCAAAATCATCAAACCATTCTATTGGGTCATCATCATCATTTCCATTAAAACTTCTAACCTTCATGTAGTTTGTTTCTTTAGACCCGGACCCATTACCTCTAATAATGTCTCTGGCTACATCTTCAAAGAATTTGGTCATACTTTCTATTAACTCTTTAAGCTGGGCGGCATTTATGACAGCTGAATTAAATGGTGCAAGAAATCCTTCCATGTAGACTGTTATAACTTCTTGGGCTTGGATTTAAGTAAGTCTCTTTTTTATTTAGATCTGTCTGTGCTAATACAATTTTTTTTTTGAATTGGGGGGTAGCGAATGTTGTTTTACTTTTCAGATCTCACAGTCACTACCAAAAATGTCAGGTAGAAACTGTGACGCAGTTGCTTCACCAATCAAAGTCTCATGTAACCAATGATAGGTAACCTTACGGAAGAGGCGTGTTAGATTTGGCTGGTGGGTGATTAAGGCTTTCAGTTACTTAAGGTCAACAAAGACAAGCAGAGTCAGTCACGTGAGCAAGAACTTGAGTGAATGACGATGTCTCTGGTGTTTATAGGGTTTATACTTGAGATAACGATGATGTAGTTTTGTGCGGTTTATAGAATTGGGACTTATTATTTAATAAAGCAAACGAGACCTGCTTCTCTTAAGGGCCTTTTCAGCCTTTATTTATAATACTTCCTTGCGCCACTTACAAATGCCGTAATATATTTAATATTTAATATAACTATCTATATTTATTATCTTTAAGAATCCTTAATTTCCATTATATCCTCCCATTAACCTCTCATATGCCCCTCTATATCCGAAATGCAACTCATGATTCGAAATGTAATTAATTGCATTTCGTGCATTTTCACGTGATCGTCCTGACCTATACATCACATTTTCTGGGTTTCACAATAGTTTTATAATGCTTTATGACTTAAATGATTTGAATACTAATTAAATAACTTCAGAAAAACCTCAGCAATTAAAGACTTTGGTAATATCAAAATGGTTGATCTTTAGTACAAATGGGCATATATGATTATTATATATAACTTAACTATTCTGAACTAATTTTAGTAATTTTATAAATTATTAGGGTTAGAGTTAAAATTAAAATTTAAATTAGCTTAAATTAGTTAGGTTTTATATATTATAAATTTGTAATATTATATATGCCCACTTATATTAAAAAAGATCCAATTTAAAATCAAGTGTAATGTGATAGTCATGTTTTTTTTAAGTAAAAAATTGTGTATAAAATTAAAGTTAAAAACAATTATAGATAGGATTAGTGTTAGAATGATATTACTTCTGTTAGTAAAATTTCACAAGAAACATTTTTAATTAGGCTGTAGTAGGTGGTTTCCTAATTAAAATTTAG